AACCCTTTCAGCATATGTGACGATATCGCCGATCTCAGTCACCCAGAAGAAGCGGAAAACTTCCAGAAGGCTTTCATCCTCTTCCTCGACAAGATAAAAGAGATAGCTGAACGGAACGAACCCTTGCGTGGTTTTATGCCGTACGAAAACCTGGTGGCATAGGAAAGATCTCTTTATTGTTCATCATTTAATGTAAGGATACATTTATAAAAATGCTGAAGTGATTGTTTTGATTTCAATAACAAAATCAGAGGAGGGCTCTCGTCCTAGAGTACACATTCATTCCGTGATGGACCCTTTCGATGCTGCTTTTGCCGCAAGGTTTACCTCTCGATTGAACAGAAGTCATGTTCCAACAGTGAAAATCCAAATCGGATCTCCGAAATTACATCCAGCATAGGACTTGTCTGATGGTCGTCTTGAGAGGTAATGAGTGCGATACAGTGGACCAGGGGAAACGGTAACCAGGTATTGCTTGGAAAGGTGGCCCAGTTGTGATGCAGTTAGCTTCAGTTCTGAACCGGACCCGCCCCCAATCCGCCTCGCCTCTAAAATATGGAGTGGAGCTTGCGATATCATTACCATCAGCGCTTAGTTTTCATTTTGAAGGTGTATTTCGCCACAAAAAAGTTGTATCTGTATTCTTGCTGTCTTTGTCTTGTCGGAGCACATCACTCGAACGACAAACACTGTAACCGTAAACTCATCCATAGTCAACCGATAGAGTCTCATTTTTCCGGCTCTGACGGTTAACTCAATTTCCTTCTCACTGTCGCAACATGTAGCAGCTTTGCTTACTTTTTTCTTTACCGTGTAAGATCGTATCAAAGAGGAGACCTAATGAGAAGGGCACCAGCACTTCCCTCTAGGCTGGTACTGCTCATACTATCAGCGCAGTGTGTCAGCTTTGCGTGCCTCTTTTACTGACAGAGGACTTTGAACGGGGATTTACAATGGAAAGGCAGCTCATCAGAAATAGGTAGAGCTGTTAAGTGGTGCAGGAACGAAACAAAAAAAAACGTGAGAAGTGGCCCAGCAACCGAGAAATGGCACTCCTTCCTTGCACTCTGGTCCGCATTGATGCGACTCTGATCATGCTGCCCTCTTCAACATTAACGCTCTCTCTGTTTAACGGCTATGGGGTCAATGAGCGGGAGGGAGGCGCTGGTAACTAGGCGTATCGGAGCGCCGATTAGGTTCGAGATGTACGCATACGTGCTTAGATCTCCGCTCCATTGCGGACCTATTTCACTTCACAGCAATACTTGTTGTGTCGATGCGCGTACCCTTAGGAAGCCCATTAGGTCTAAGCCTCCCCACTCTACTGACACCATCGGACCTTATCAGTGGACAAGATCTCAATTCACCACAGTGCTACTCGTCTTCTGCAGAACCAGGCTGCATACTCGAGGCGCAGGACCAACACACCACAAGTCACGACAGCCTCTTCAAAAAATCCCTGAAGAGATAAACGGTTTCATAGTCCATAGCAGGAGCTTTGATAAATGTAAATCGTAACTAGTTGGACGAACTGACTTAGAATCAACTGCGGCCGGCTGACAGATTCACTTTCTTGCTGTGGTCGTCCGGTCACTGTGTTTGTCGCCCAGGTTAACGGTCTCGTCGCTCGGCACGGTGCACTCTGCTCTAGAAGCTCTGGTTTCGCGCCACACCACTTACAGCACGCGCGCACTCTCGGGTGCACTATCGCTCGGATTCTGGTAACCCACATTATTCAGAAGCAGCGTTGTGCATTAGCGAGCTTTGCAAGGGCAACAGAGGGCAGAGTGTGCACTCGTTTTGAAGTGGGAGGTGCGAGCACTGACACCTTCTCAATTCGAGTTTCGGGTCCCCCAAGAGGCCCATCGCGCGGCGAAGGAAGAGACGCAGACGCGGCAAAGGACGAGTGTGCGATATGAGACGTAGTATGGTACACTCTATTTAACCTGACGCCTAACCGCTACAGTATGCGCTGCGACTCGTCCTTTGCCGCGTCTGCGTCTCTTCCTTCGCCGCGCGATGGGCCTCTTGGGGGACACCCTTCAGTTTCAAATGATCAACAATTTCATATAGTGCAGTTTATTGTAAACATAACTTGTACAATAGAAGCGCATGCTATCACAGCCTTTGGAACAGAGAATGTTGACGACGGAAGCGTAGAAATCGGAAACTGTCTGCAGCGCCATCATGCAATCGTCAATAATTCAAGTGTGACTATTGGTCTAATTGCAAACGTTGGCTGAAGCGATTATTAATCATATTAAGATTTCTGAGAGGCTAGCATTGGGAACCAAGAAAGACGTATAGAGTCTGGAGACATATAAAATGGTCCCTTCAAATACTTCGCCTCTTCTGAAGGCATACAATCTATTAAATAGCACGGCGTTACTCTGAGTCATAGACGTCTGATTCAAGAACAATGTGAAAATATGATTCAAGAGTATTATATGAGGAGAAAAGTTCGGAACTAAGGCAATAAGAGAAGCTAGGATGAGCTTGAAATTGTAGCGCAGTGATCTGTTAAGTGGCGACAGGCGAAGGCGAAGTTCAGACTTTGCTCAGCTGCAATCGATCATTACTGTAGCAGCTCTGGCAGTGTAGTCGACCTTCTCGTACTCGAACATCGGCTCCAGTAGCACCGGATCCTTAAAAAACAGCTTTCAAAGAGAATAGACGTCATCTGATAATATGACTTAAAGGTAAGGTGCGGGTTCAGTCTCACTGATGTAGTTGCTCCCGTGGATAGAGGTGTGTGTGGTCGCGCCACCTTCGCACCTCAGTAAGACGCTAGGCGCTAAGGACTTTGATCAAATCTCTTCAAAGCTATCAAGGTCCGCCCACGTTCGATATCGTATCTGCGTCCCTTGATTTGCTATACACTCGTACTCGCACCTCTCTTACCCTCTCTCCAACTCACACTACCTCTGATCTCTCTGCCCTCTCTTCCTATTAGACTTCTCCGCAGCGTAGAGCAAGAAGGCTCGTGTTTCTTGTGTTTTTCACAATTTTCTATCCTTTTTCTCCACTTACGGTTCCCCTACCACCCCTGATTTCACGGTAAGTAGGATTACCACATCAATTCATTCCTAATCCTTGCCTCGAAATCATCCATTCAGGTGCTGCTAAACAGATGTCGCTGTTATAAAATGGAAACCAATCAATAAAAATGATTAGAAACTGCGTAGCACTCTGCTTCCTGCCCTCCCCCTCCCCCTTACCCCCACTTATTACGGTCCGGTCCGCCCTTTTCCATACATTTACCGCTCATGCAAAGCAGGGTCCACCCATGCCAACAAAATATGGCAGAAAATCGTTTCATCCGCCGAGAAACTCGGGAATGTGTGGTGAGTTACCGGTTGACCTCGCACCACTTGCAGTTCAAGGTTCAGGCAGGTGGTACGGAAAATTAGACCCGCTAGGAATGAAGTGCGAGCTGCTAATGAGTGCAGTGAAGAAAAACGGAGAGGAACGGTCGAAAAGCCGCAAAATAGAAGATTTGTTCTCCCCGTTCAGCCTGCTTTTGCAGAACTACTTCGGTGACTTTGTTCTCTGTTTCAACGGTTCGAACTCTGGATGACGAAAGATACCGATGGGCAGCTCCGGAGTAGCAATCGGTGGGCAGACAGCACAAGGAAAATGCTCTGAGGGGTCGCGTTGTAGGTCTACTAGACGATGTGATGCATTTCCTTCGCCACGAGATATGTTCAGTCCTCGGCTCTTTGGGAGTCAACTTTTCTTCCTTACGGTATATTTGCCACTGGGTTCAATGTACTATTATTATCGTCGCACGCTGCTTTGAATTTTGGGCTATGTAAGTCGCCGATACGAATTAGCGCTGTGGGGAGAGTTTTTAACAACGAAGCATTTGTAGGCACAAAATTTGCGCGCATGTCTAGCTGAAATGTGATATTACGCTGTCCTTAAAATAATAAGAGTAAATATTAACTCCGTCTTGATTTTCGCAATGGGCCACTGACTGGCTTATTGGGCCGGGCCAGTGCCGCGTTGAAAACTGTTGATTGAGGATTGTCAACGACTGCGCTAGATGATTTTGTTGTTCCAGTCACGCTCTCCGCCCGGGACATCAACTCTCAAACGCGGAGCTAGTCCTGTGCTTAACGCGTGCATTCATCTCGGCACTGTGTATCAAGCAGATAAGAGCCATGGTTCGACATTTCCGAAGCGTTATTCACTATTGTTCAATTGCAAAATATTCACAAACACTGATGGATTGCTGCTGACTTACAGCCTAGCTCGAGTGCACTTGGTTGGGGCAAGGGTGGGGGCGTGAACACCGGCGGCGCCGCAAACGCTCTATTCTCTGAAATGCTTAAGGCCTGTATAGAGGCCCGCTTACCATTGGGGCATCTTGGACAGTTTCGAAAACGTGCACGTGGATAAGATTGAGAGAAGGACGACAAGCGACGCCGTCAGCGTGCCCCCCCCCCAATAGTTAGCACCGAAAACTCCATCACCGCAGGCGGGAACGCGAAAGCCGGCGTCTTCGGTTTTTAATATTCAAAACTCAGCGTTCTTGTGATAAATAAACAGCAAACAATAAACAATCTATAATACGCAAATAAAATCGACGGGAACTAAAAGCAAGTGGAATCAAAACAGGCCAAAACTCACCTAGTGGTGTTTTACAAACATAGCACTTGAAACAGGATAGATGATAGAAAAGGTTGAGCGATTCGATAATCATGGCAGCTCCACGGCCTAAATTTGTAACATATAACTTTTCACCCAAAAATAGGACCGGGATAACTTAGGGAACTCACGCGATATTTTGTTGATATACGCTAATATATGTGTAGTGTAAGCTGATTATGTGGACAGTACCACAAAAATCAATAATCAATAATAATGATAATAATAAACTCTATATGACTATATGCATGCAAATGCACGATAACGACAACGGCATAGCTTATGTGGTGACGCTGAATAGTCCATCTCTATAGAAATAGTAGATATCACCTTCAGAAGCTGAGCGCTGGCACGTGGGCAGGGCCATCTGGCTCCGCCCACACTTCAATGGTACCTTGGGTAACCGACAGGAGCCCGTCGCGCGGCAAGCAGAGTCGGCGGACGAGTCGCAGCGCGTGATGTGCGATGTAGGACGTACAATGGACATTCTATTTAACTTGACGCGAAATCCTACAGTACGCGCTGCGACTCGTCCGCTGACTCTGCCTTCTTGCCGCGCGACGGGCCTCCTGTCGGGCCCTTTACTTGAGCACCATTGAGGAGTGTGCGGGATAACAGACAGTCCTGCCACCACATTGGACGCGACTTCTGCCTTTCGTTGTGAGCGGTTAATACCAAGTCCAGTTAGTAAGTAAATAGTTGCATGCCAGTAGTGGAAATTATAAATATTTGAAGAAAAAATAGGTTCAATTTCAGAACGGGACAAAAAAGTTTTGGCACTTTGACGGACTTTTACACCAAGAAGTTACCTCATGAATGTAGTCGGTAAGGAAACTAAAGGTTCTTGGTATCTCGCTGGATAAGAGAGCGAGACGTCATTATGATTATGCGTGAAGCTTTCGCGATGAAAGGGGCTCTAAAGCTAGCAATTCCTGGATAGCCGTAACCAAATTGACAGACTCCGCCTTCGGCCTTTCGCTCCGCCTCACAGTAGCCTCTACTCATCTGTGCTCCTTCCTACGGTGCAGAGAAATAGAGCGCGGCGCTCAGAACGATGCCAGCCATCGTGATACCTCATCCAGTGTCCAAATAGGTAAAGAAATATCTGAACTCGTCGTTCTTCCAAGTGGTGGGTAACCCCTGCCAACCGCGTCAGCTCCCTGTTCTTGTCCGCATTCCTTCTTGCATCATGTCGATGGCTGCCTGCATTCCAAGCTGAGTCAGACGTTTCCTTTGTCCTCCTGCCACAATCATGACAGGAGTTCCAGCAGTCCTGGCGAGAAGGGTAGGAGCCGTCAAAGGGCAATGTCTTACTCAACCTCGAATGCATTACTCACAAGATTAGGCAAGAGATCGAAAATCGAGCACAGAATTGAGCAGTATGACAACTCGGGATCTTGAGCCTTCATTGACTGAAACGTTGGTAATTCTACTGTTCCCTGAGATGGCTGTGGGGAGGTGCGACTCATGGTCCCATGCCTCAATATTGTACATACTGGTATGCCCCGCCCATTTCGGACGAGTTGTCACCGTGGTTGTTTCAGAGATTTGTCCAAAATGGTCAGGCTTGTAATTAGCTAACTCGAGCATCACATCCTCACTATCCAAATAATGTTTACACTCCTTTGCGAATTTCATTTTCAAATTAAAGACTGTTAAGTTGTTTTCTAGTTAATCCCTTGAACCACACCCAATAATTAGCAATTATATGTTATTAGTAATTTGGGATAATTGTCAAAAGCCTCACCTAATTCGTCCCCACAATGAGCACAGCGATGCTTTCCGCTAACGGCCACCACTTGTTCGTTGCTGACCGGTTCGCGACGGACTTCCTCACGGAATGCTGCACTCATCTCGCGTCTACCGTAACCCGGACTAGGGCTCACGTCGCGATGTTCCCGTCGTCGATAATCCGACGCAAAGCTTGAATCCGCCGCGGCCGCAGCTGCACTCGCACCACGTGCTTCTGCTGTTCCGTATCTCGACGAGTCGTAGTGCCGAGTGCGATAATCAGGTGCGTAGCTCTGAAAGTAACGATTTAATGGATTATTTATTGATTACTGGAAACTAATCAAAACCTTTTCGAAGCGACCATAGTCCGCGGATCTGTCGTATGCTTCTGTGTGGGAAGAGGCGCCTAGCAGCGGTTCCCTGCGGCTGTCGAACGATCGATAACCATATTCAGTGGTTTGTCGCTCTTTCTCAATCTTTCGGGTCTCTTCCAGCTTGCGATTAATTATTGCAGGAAGATTTCTGAAAAGCACGTTGATGACCTTTCCACATTTCAGTCTATTATTGTACTACTAGTGGAGAAAATGCGGGAAGCCCGCATGGTGACGTTAGCCTCGGCCAAACAGGCGATTGACTGGTTCAACTCGTTCCTCATTCTCTCTGTTCCTCACTCTCTCCTACTCCTTCCCCCTAACCACCCCCATGCTCATGACTGATCCTCCTGGGTATGGTACATGATGTCAATGGCCAATAGCTTCTTTCTAAAGTGTGACGCCGTCAACTGACGCACTCCATTCCCCACCCTCAATATCGAGTGGGGGATCGGGGGGTGTAAAAAACGAATGGTTTCGGAACAACAAAAGTTTTAGAATTTTTGAGAGTTCATCAAATTTCATCAAAAATTTCCTGCTTTCTGTGAGGCTTGTTATTTAGACCACTGTCAAACTCGGCGATGAACAAGCGATGAAGCGACACGATCGCTCGCCGCTTGTCCGCTCGCCGAGTGTGGCGGCGGTCTTACTTCTCTTCAAAGCCACGGGTCGGGATTGGGGCCAAGAGGCAGTCCCTCCCTTGAGAAAGAGGGAGAAGCCACGATACTGTCGCGACTCAAAAGTGTGCGGCAAATAAAAAAGGCAAGAGATGTTTGAGGCCATCACCTCATGCGGCGCCACTCTATCAACCGCAGCATACGACCCGTTTGCGCACTCTCGCGTACGACGTACTCTCCGTGTTTTCCCTCTCTTCGCAGCGCTTTGTCTCTCCTTCAAACGCGGTCGACCATCCAAGGGAAATTTCTGTATTTGTATGGATGCTTTTTGCTTTCGTCTCCTCCACTGACGTTCCTCATTGCACTTCCTTGTCAAATTTTCGAAACAAAATGAAGCAGCAACAAATTTTTGCGCTCGACCTCTGTTTCTAAGGAATATCACGCGACTCGGCCAAACAGGCGAAGTCCGAAGTGCCACCCCGACTTCAATTTTCTCCACCGGTGTTTAGTCAAAAGGAGAAATTAAAGCCGTTTCGCCGTCAGTGTTTCCCAGCAGTTGTATTTAAAAGCGATGCGCGACGGCGCGACTACTAGCGCGACGCGTTCGCACGCAGGAGTGTCATTAGCATGCACTCATTTTCTCTCCAGAAGAAGCGAAGAACAACATAGTTAAACGAAAACCCTTCGGATCCTTCTACATTCCCGACGACAAGTCGTGCAAGTTATAATTTCTATAAAAAAAGCTACAACAGCTGAACATAAGCCGCACGTACCCTAGCGAGGCGCTCGCATCACGGATACGTCGTGTGTCGGGCGCGTAACCCGGTGCAGGTTGACGCTGTTGGTCGATCACGTCACGCCAATCGCGCGATTCCTGCAACAAGAACATAAAATTTTGTTTGGATGCGTCGCGGTTGCGTCGCGTCTTGGTGGAAACAGTAGGACTGGGATTTTCTGGAGACTTCGGATGTACCATTTGGCTTGGGGAAGTGATACTACTTTCAGAAGAGCAAGAATAGATTCAAATACTGAAAAGAAACGAAAGGGTAGTTTTTGCATTACTTAACATGACATAGCAGAGGACAATCTGAGACTACAAACCACTACGAACACACTAAAGGTTAGATATGCAACAACACAATGAGACATGACGCGAACAATTCACACCCACCACCACCCTTCGTTCGGGAATCCACATGCGTTTCTCCTTCTCCTCGTACTCCATGCGTTCCTCAGTCCGTCGCTCCACGCTCTTGCTGTATCGCGGCTCGCGCCACGAATCCCGAAAACTTGGTCGCTCTGCGTCTCTCGCGAAGTCGTAGTCTCTGCGTATGTCGACGTCGTAGCCGCGACGCACGTCCCGACGCACGTAGTTCCCGTCGCGATCGTAGAAGCGATGGAAGGTGTCCGAGATGGCGAAGTCGTCGGGGCGACTGTAGTCCTTCTCGAGGATGTAGTCGCTTGACTTCGACCGCATTGTGTGATAGGGGCGTGGGGCGTGAATTCGGCGGTAGTCGTCGCCCACGCGCTGAATCGGTACCACCGTTGTTCGGGGTACATAGTCACGACGACCCACCCTTTCCTGATGTGTTCGTTTGCGATACATCTCGTCAAGCTCCAACTTTTCTTGAACATAGGCGTCACGATCAAGGGACCTGTCGTCGTAGAGGTAATCTCGTCCACCTCGATCGCGTAACTCGTACGAGCTACGCGATCGTCGATGGGGCGACGGATAGCTGCAAGTCCAACGATCGCTGCGATAATCGCGCGAGGCAGCGGCTGCAGCGCTCCTGCTCTCACTGCTGATGGCCTTGAAAGTAGGCGAGTAGCCGATCTCAGGAGATCGCCGCAGTATTCCAACAGGAGGTGTTGGCGATAGAGATTGACGAAGTGTTTTTCGCTAAAATACGAGAGAATGAGGATTAAGAAAGAAATGGGTTAACGAGAAGGCGAGGTTAAAACACGCGAGAGGAAGTGGAAGCACAGCAAAACGGATTAGCAGGCTCACACAGCGTGAAACACTCACTAACCTAACTTACTTGCCAAAAATCAACCCCTGCAGAGTAGGCACAGACCTACCCGGTCCTTCTCCCTGGACCCGAGCGAGCAGGAGCGACGACCTGGCAGTGTCCGTCGAAAACCGTGCCTCAGAAGTTTCCGGTAGTGAACACAATACATCCCTACTTAGGCGCTTTCCTATCTAAACTAACAACCGAATATTCAACTCTCACTGATTCAATGTAAGTGGTTTAGTGGAGTCGCTTTGCACGCCAAAGGCGTCCGCATACGCGAATTCTGGATCGTATCGCGTTCAGCCCAACCATTTGGCCCCTCCGAGCTGGGTTAGTTGATTGCAGGCTTGTCAGGGGGACGAAGGCACTCACATTAGTACGTCGACTGCTCTCCCGCAGTCCATTGCATGGACCATCGAATTCCAAAATGCCACAGCAATTTCAGATGGAAGTAGAATGCACGGCGCATCAAAAACGACGGTCAAAATTCAATGCTTTAACTTTTCTAGCTGGTTTATGTGGAAATGATGCGATCTCAGAACTTCACGCTGTATGAGTAACGGAACAAGCAGAATTGAGGAATACAAGGACATCTATGAAAACCATAGGAATAACTGACAGAACAGGATAGGTGCCGCAAACATATTGTAACCAGAACAAGGAAACTGGACTATAAGAAGCTACTAAAAAAGAAGATTTCCTCTGTGAAAAGACTCGTATTGTTGCCACAAATAAAAGCTGAACTATACTAAGCTTTCACAGGCCAATTTGTATGTAGCATGTAAAAAATGGGCGCTTTAGTCCTCGGAGGGGGGTAGGGAGAGGATTGGAATTACCAAGTGAGTGAGTCAATTACTGTGCTTGGGGCTAAGCCCTGGAGAGGGGAAACGATCCTCAGGGAGTATGTGACAATCTGTGTTTTCCCTTGCGTTTCTACCCTGCTCGGCTTAGTCCTAGCTGTCGCCTGCCATCGGCCGCTTTTTGGAAACGGTTTAGTACATGTTGTAGGGACGCATGTATGGACCACAAAACCATGTTTCGTTTTCGCTGAACGGTTTTAGTAGTACCAAAAAAGTGGTGAATAATACTCTTGATGGTTCAATCCCCGCGGCGACTAAATTTTGCAATCAAGGTTGGCGGCCACTTGTTGGCTTCAAAATGGTCCTGACGATGAATTTGACATCTGATTTGATATTTAGCGCGATTTGGCACCAAACCGTAGGCGCCAACCCAAATGCAAAATTTAGTCGCCACGGGGATCGAACCCTTAACAGTACCTTATGCTTCTTTTGGTACTGCTATAACCGTTCAGCGAAAATGAAACATGGTTTTGCGTTCCCTACATGCGTCCCTACAATATGCACAAAACCGTTTTGAAAAAGCGCACCTTGCCCTGAAAGACCTCCCTTGTAAGGGCATGAGCGCCTGGAAATGGGCAACAGCGAGGTCCAATTACCACGCGCACGGGCTGGGATTTGAATTTTCCAAAATCAGCCAAGCCTTCTAAGTACTTCCTTCCGGAGTTTAGAAAAGCAGAGGTGCGACATACGAGTCCTATTCCAAATAAGGAACAGATCGTTGAGGCCATGGGCAGACGGTTGCACATATAATAACCTTCATTTTCAAGTGAAATCCCTTCCTGATAGCACTCCTCCACGGATCAAATTGGTGCAATTCTTGCACAAGGAAAAGGAGGCGGCGGTACCACTGGACCAGCAGAGAAGAAAAAAAAGAAAAGTATCCATCTTTCGAGAAGGCAGACCCACTGGCTATGGGGGAACGAATAAAAATGTGTTGGAAGCGGTTTTGGTTAAGCTCTGGCCCTCGTTGCGCTTTTTCGAGCCGGGAGGAAGAGACGTCTGCGTCCTTCGTAGACAGCAGAGCCCTATTCACCAGAGATTGATGCACCCAAAATTCATCGTGGGGTGTGCCTTTTCAGTCGAACGACTTCCCGCTTTCAGAGAGTCTATCCAACCCAACGATGGAACAAATGTTCGAAAAAAGTTCAAAAATTTCCAGAGAATTATGAAAGTATTGAAAGAAGAAGGCGCCCTTCATATACATTCTACTACCCGCGGTGCTGCCTTTCATAATTCTCTGAAATTTGAAAATAAAGATATATAGTTCTAAATGCGTTTCGCGAGAGAATCTGGTGAGTTGGGGGGGACCCAATGTCCCGGTGCAACACGCGTAGAGTACGGATCGCATCGCGGCCAATTATTGCGGAGAGGAAGATCTCGGGGTAAGTACAACTCTGCCCTTCGTGTCGTCGAAGTGGATTCCCATATCGAGTAAGGGATTTTATCCACTTGAAAGCGTGGTTCGGGTTGTGAATTTGAGCAACCCCAGAGGCCTCTTTCGGAAACGAGAAGAGCGTCTAGTGCAGACCACACACCACAAGTGACGACGGCCAAGAAAAAAGAAAAAGAAAAGGCCTCTTCTCTTGGCTGTCGTCACTTGTGTTGTATGGTCTGCACTCAACGCTCTTCTCCTTTTCCGAATTAGAGGGTATAGGCGGGGGGAGTTGGTCAATTTCCAAGGGCCCTGCCAGCATAGTGTGGCACCTATAGCCTCTATGCCTTCCCCACCTTTTTTGCCAAGCCCGCTACACGATATTCTTCTCTCTATAGTGCTCACCATTGATTTAGTTTTTTCCCTTTGCTTAGAGTTCGCTTCATGGTCTACTATTACCATTGTTCATTGCAGCCTTTTGCTGTATTGAATAACCGTTAAAAGGGACGAATAGCAAAAGGAAAAGTTATGCAGGAAATGTGTTCTGTTGTATCATCCCTTGCCGACGCGATGAGCCCTTCACAGCGATGTGAATTGTATGATGCATTGATGTTGGGGTGACGATGGCAACATTACTGTTTTGCTGACAATAAAACATCACGGCAAATCAGCTGAAAGGGAAAGGGCAGAGCGAAAGGTTCATCACCTCTGCCATTCATGGCATTTTTGCGATAATCAAAATCGGAAACCGGAAGAGGGAAATAAAGATGGCGCGATGAAGCTCATAGAGATATAAAGCAATGCTACGTGTGAGAGGGAAGCCATCGTGACTATAAGGAGATCAATCGCTTTCCTCAACAAATAAAAACCCACATAGCATTCCTCCCCATTTTCTTGCATCAACCCTCGTCCTCCTCCGCTCCTTTCTATTAAACGACATTGGTAGGATGCCCCGTTATTGACAATATTTTTATGTGTTGTAATTGTGCTACTGTATTTCAGTTGATCCTGAAGAGGGGCTTAGGCCCGAAACGTCATCAGTAAAGTTTTGTGAAGAAGAGCTTTTGAATTGCACTAATTCCCGTTGTTCGTTGAATCAACAACACCAATGGGAAAAGGGAAGTTGGTTCCGGTGAAATCTCATTTAACCCATTCGTGACAATGGCAGCCACCGGTGGCTGACAAAGATCTCACTCGGGACAATGGTATCCACCGGTGGCTGCCGTGTTTCAAATGGAATTTGGAAAGTTTTCTTTCCTGAAAAGAATCTTCATACCCTCATTCATCTACGCCAGCCCTGGGCAGGGAAATCTCCATCCACTCAAATTTTATTGAAGAAAAATCTCCTGACTCTCCTGCTATTGCGCAATCCCGCGCGGTCGCGACTGGGTTAAACCAGGCAGAAACCTATCGGTAACGAACAAATTCACTAGGGTTAATAGGGATTCTTTCACCAGTATAGTAATTGTTTCTGTGAACGTCTTCATAATCTAACAGCGAACAAAAAAGAGCGACAGACTGGACAAAGGAAAAATAATAGTGAGGTGAAATTAGGCGGACTACTGCAACTGAAGAAATCAACGCTACTCAAAAGGGAAGTAGTCACGGAAACGGAATTCGTAGGACGTTGGAACGTCCATCGGCGGCGATAACGCAACAGCACGTAATATAACGAAATCAGGAGCAAAGCTTTCGCCCTGATAAGGGAAGAAGCTTTCAAAAGGCATTTGAAAAACGCTGAGGTCTTCCTCCTTCGATAACATTAGCTCAAGGAAAAAAACCATGCTGAAGAATTCGCAAGCATAGGAAAGTATAAACAAGGGGTTCGTGCACAGGCATACGATGAAGCTTTCCGCTGGAACTCGTACAAACTGGACGGGTTGTCCTGTGGATGATGTCCCAGCCGAAAGCTACCTCGTACCCGATAAAAAAACACCGAATAAATTGCAAACATGGCTTACCAGGTACGATCTTCCGGCTACCGTATCATCCTCCAAATGGCGGCCTTCTTCATGAACATGCGTCTGAAAAAATCAATGGGGTTCACCTGAAGACATAGTATTGCCAATATTTCTTAATAGCAAAAGTTAAAAGTTTCTTATTTCGCAGAAAATCTGAGTTCAAAAATAGTCTGAAATACTACTGTAATTTAGAAAAAACGTAAAAAACGAAAGAAAAAAAGAAACGTAGAGCTACAATCTCACTAAATGTAAAGTGTTTTCAATAAATACTTTGAAAATTTCAACCTTGTTCAGTAAAAATCAATGGAATCAATTTTGGGGGAATGTCGTTGTCATGTGGGGATTATTGGTCGGGGAAACATGTATAACATTATGCGTTATCGGAGCTGACAACCAATGAGTCAGGAGTAAAAATATTGCTCGATAGTTGTTCAATGTCAAAGAAATAAAATCGATACAAATAGGACTTCTAAGTGGCGATGTATCGTCGCCTCTTGCAAATTATTTACAGAGGCGCGTGGCGGCGGCCATTCAACTAGTTCGTCACTGTCGAAAAGCACTTGAAATCAAATGCATGCGGGAAATCGCGCCGCAACAATGGGATACGCCGTGAACACGTCCATCATAGAATTGCGGACGCGATTGATGCATAAAAGACCAACATTTTCGACGATTGTCGCATGACGCAACATATATTGGGTCGGAGCATAATATCGTAGCGCTCGCATTCGGCAAAAACGTTCAAAGCAAAACCCAAACGCAAAGCTAAGCAGAAAACTGATCAGTGATATTCTTCTCATTTACTACTTTCGTTCCATTTCGCAAGAAATTACCAGGTTTAGAAATCAAAAAAGGGTACTGAGCCCGTTTCTAGAATCCTCATTATTTTCAATATGTACGACGTGAATATGATTTGAAATTAAGGGACGACCGGAGTAAGGTTCGATGATGACGATGGATTCCGAAAAACTCCTATTTTGGCAGCTTTTTTCTCTATATGGATTTTCGCCCACCTTGATTCTCAAATTCTATGCGCCATATCTGAGTACACTTACAAATATAGATAGAAAAATGATAAGCACCGGTTTTATAGGAGCGGAAGAAGTGCATTTTCAAATGATTATGTGGATTTCCGGGTTATACTTGTATTACCTTGACATCGTAGCTGTCAGTGATTCGTGACGATAGTTCTAGAAAGTTAGGTATTTACTTATTGCCTTGAAGAACGACTTCAAGCTGTGCAAGATTCCAGATATTGCAGAATAAGGCCGAAAGGTCCGAAAAAAGAAAGGTCTCAGGTTTGAACAAAATACTGAGTGAGTGTCAATGGAGTCGAATGTTCACCATGAGATGGAAGAGGAATTGCAGGTTTAAGAAACCCTTCGACCTTCATACTACGGTAGGGCTATACCGACGATAGCGAAGGGGGCAATGTTATAATTACTATAATAATTGAAATATCGTAACTTTAAAGGTCTCAAAAAGAAAGAAAGGAAAAAGAAAAACGAGAAAACAAGAAGAATTCATCTGAAGGGGAGCTGCAATCAACAGGAAATCCGTTAAAACTCACTTAAAAAATTTCCGATCAAACCTTTTTCTACAGTCTGGAATCTTGCAATTAGTCTTGAACACTTTCTTTGAATCAATAATTTAATATTTTTCTTGATTTTTTAGAACTATAATTACTCTAATTATTATAGTATCGTTGTTATTTTGTTGGGATTTTATTCCGTATATTATTAATTTTCATCAATAATGGGAGCAAAGTTTCATAATGCGGAATACTACGCTATTGGCCGGATAGCAATAGAACATCAAAAGCCAATATAAAAGGATAAAGCACTCGACGTTGATTAATCCCTTTTTGGGATGCGCCATGCATTCTATCTTCCATTCAGGATCATAGAAACCACTTGAATGCGATTTGGCCTACAATGACTTGCGAGGGCCTAGCCGATGTACAAGCCAGTGTTTTCTTAGCGCAGACGATGCACCACCCAGAATTTGATCCTTGTACCGCGCGCATGGTAAGCAGCGCCACTCGCCACCACACCTCTTCCATCCCAGCTCAAATAGTCGTCCGAAACTGTTTAATATGCGACAGACGAGCAGCAGACGCGTTCCTTTGGAGTTATGCCACTAGACAAGAAGTCCCAACAGTTCTGAAATTCTCTTTCCGGTGTGGGTTCAGTATGTGGGTCCACCCATCAAAGCACATGGTAAGTGAAGACCCACACTATGTAACCAACGCTTGAAGTCCTCATTGTGACAATTACAATTAAAGCAAGGCTTATATTTGCATGAGTCGCAGGACGTGTACTTGGCGGATTTGAACAAGCACCGTGTGTGCTCTCATTGGTCGCGCACCTTGCCGTTGCGCTGCGCTTCGAAGCTCCGCATCGTTGCACGTTGAAATTGTGAGGCCTCATTGAAACGAAGATTTAGCCACTTATAACAAGCATACCAAGCACCGCCTCCATTAAGGGCCTTTGCACTCTGAAAAGGGTGTGAAAAACGCTGCCCTCATGGAGCTCAAAGAAGTTGAATGGCATTACCATTATTCGTCTTGGTGGCCAACACAGCACCATGCTGGACAGTAGAGGCGGCGACGTCGACTGAAAACTTCAGCATGTCGAGAGACCGTACAAGAGCAACAGTATCGCCATCGTCGTCGTACACTCATCAGGCCTCTTCTGTGAGCAACAATTGGCAGAGGGGGATGAATCAGCTGAAGAATACTATTGTCGACACGAGCGTAATATGCCAACGGGTGTATCGTCGTTCAGGAATTCGCGGCAGTGAAATGACAACAGGCTGCGATGCAGAGAGAAGTTTAACGATTCCGTAGCAAAACGAATGATGTCCAACAATCCACATGGAAGGAAGTGGTGTACTGGCAAGTAGCGCTGCTTACCAGGACTAGGATTTGATTTGCGGGGAGTTGAAGGTCCCTAGGTCCTGCGTCGTTCGGGCCAACCAAGCCTTCCATATCGGATAGTTGGTACCAGACTTGTCTGGTAGGATCAAAACACAGATCTGTACATCGGCTGACCCCCGCCAGTCACAGTATAAGACAAATTGCATCCAAGTGCCACCGCGAATGTACATATGGAAGAAAAAGCGTGCTACACCCTCAAAAAGGACTAATCGACGGCAAATGCTTGATCCTTTCCTAGCCACGTAGACGGGAGAGCGAGATGGCGAAGGGTTATCCATGGATGGGTGGGAAGTGGGATGAAGACCGCTGGGGCGGCCGAGGGGAGGTGGCCTTCCGCCTTGTATCTTGAGAATGGCCCATTTGCAAGTGTTCATTAAGGAACGCTCAGTACTTGCTGTCCAAGTTCGACTTTGTATGAATCTTGGCATATTTTCAGAATAGAATAGTTTAGTACTGAGCTTCCGACCAAGATTGTCAATAGCTTTATTTGGCCGACGTTTCGGTGCTTTCACCTTCTTCAGAGCCTGGAAAAGTCGAAAGCTATTTAGGAAACTACCCGTCCAAACACTATTTCAACCTACAAGATTCATTCAACAGGGAGTAAACTACTAAAACAATGTCATGGAGGGAGATGAGAACGAACCTTTAGAGATGCTGGCCAGAGAGGTCCACCTGCCACCCCGAGCTGGTAGTAACGTGGCTTAAATAGGTAAAGCCTTAGGGTCATTTCTGCCTAGTAGTGCAAATCACTGTTTCCATCCATTCTTATGTGGTGAATACTAATTGTCTGGTATTAGTTGGCGGTTACTTGGCGTAGACGAGATTAGGACCGGGACTGATACGCAAGTACCCTCCCCTTCAAAAAGCGAGAAAGTGTCGGGTGCAGACCATGCACCACAAGTGACGACGGCCTCACAAAATGTTAATGTTTTCTGCCAATGAAATGATTAGCCTGTTGCAGTTGTATTCTATCGATTGTCACTAATTACAACTATCATTTACCAGAAATCAGCTATCACTATGAACAACTTCTAACCAGATTTACTTGGAGGCCGTCGTCAGTTGTGGTGTTTGGTCTGCACCCGACACTTTCTCGCTTTTTGAAGGGGAGGTTACGTAGGCGGACTGGGGCATTACATGCAGCCGCCCTTTCCCAGCTTTTGTGGGAGAACGATTACAGTTTTTTGTGGAAGCAGTGAATGTTTTGGTGTGGTTGCATATTCATGGCTTAGAAACTCTTTGAACGATTGCGCCCGTCACATTGACAATGAAGCTCTCCGGTCAAATCTAACATTGTTGTGAATGGAATAATGCTATTTCGAGGATTCGTCCCGAACGCGCCGCGCCTTCGGCTTAATCCCTGAATCGAAAGGAATCTATCTCATCCTTTGCGCTTTTTTTCCGAATTTTTGCACAGTCCATGTTCAAGTAATACTCGATGTTTTCAGAATTACAAGCTACTTTCAAATTATGAAATATTGCAGTTTTTGCGTCTCAGGACCCTTTGGATGTGGCTGGTCCTATTAAAAACCATGATAGGGAAATATTTGCTGAAGTGCAAGAACGAAGGAATCGTTGCAATGTTGCGAAACAAATGTAGAATCGTTATTTTCTTTGCGCTTTCCTCGTAGCTCTTCTTGCAGTAATGAAAAAATCCGCCCCAGCTCGAGCGATAAATTAGAATTTCAGTAATATAACATTAAAACGATAGTGAACTCATTGATATGAATTACAATGAAGTTGGAAACAGGGACTCATCCAGTAAGGGGGGCATGTGCTGCGACAGTTCATTGCATGAAGTAATCCACTTTTTTCAGGGGAGGGAAGCTCCGGGGTGGGTGTAAAAGTTAAGCGAAATGGTTCACGCACCCCGGGGATTCCCTCCCCTTGCAAAAATTGGAATTTCTGTAGCCGGCAAGAACTGTCACACCACATGCCCCCTTACTGGATGAGACCCTGGAAACAATTTTACTAGGAAAAAGTCGAAGTGTGCCTAAACTCACATCACGCGGCAGTGTTGATCGTTTCGGGACCGCACTCACAGAATCGCTTTCTGTGATGACGCGTCGCTGCCCAGAATACGGTGAAGTCTGGATTTTGTATTTTAGGCCACTTATTTCGGTAGTTATCAAATCAATACAATAATCTGAGTAACTCATTTTTTAAGTGATTTTTTAACACAAAATATTTACGACGAATGAAAGAAGTCGTGAACAAATACCAGGGATTGCTTCACAAGACCCTCAGCGCACTTGGGGGGGGGGCGTTGGTTTACCAATGACGTTCAATGAAATCATTAAAACCGCACCGCCCTCCAGCCACTATGCTCACCGCAACGAGAGGACCGCTGGTTGCTGAGCAGGACTTCAAAGCGCTTCCCCTTCCCTTCCCCCCCCCCCCGCCTCCCAAAACACGATCTGCCCACTAGTTGACCTGTTGATTTAGACGAGCTGCATGCTGGCAGCGCGCAAATGCTCAAATTGGAGCGCAAATTTGGTGCATGTTCCATAGAAGCGTTTGCAACTCCGTTCATATCTACGTCCAATTTCCGACTATTACCCTGTCCATGGAGTGAAAACCAACGTGGCACAAAAAGGGGTCCCGTTTCTTGCGTATTTTCTGTTTTCTTTCTTTTTGGACTCCTGTCATACGCATGGAGCACCACTAGCGTCACCGAGCCCTTCTTGAATTTTATCGCGTCGTGCCGCCTTTAATTGAATCCACTGAATACGAGAAAGCTCACCGTAACGGGAATTGGAGTGACTCTTGTGGTTGTTGGCGTTGCTGGTGGTAAGTCGTAATTGCGTATCAGACGCGGTTCCTCATCAGAAGCACGACGATAGGAAAATTCTGAAAAGAATGAGGTTTTTCCAAACAATGTGGATTAGGTTATCGCTTGACGGCTCACCTTTCCTTCTCCTTTCCTGCCTTTGGCCTGTGCCATCGGCTCGTTCACTTTCTGGCACGAAATCTGTCAATTTACCTGGACCAGTTTTTTCGTGCATTGATGTCACCCTGAATGGAGTACTGTATTTGTGAGGTGTTTTAGAGTGTTTTAATGAAAGTTCACCCAACAGCTGATTGAGCCGGTTTCTTTTTGTTCCTTATGCGTATGCTGCCTCATACGTAATAGCGCATTTACAATATTCTGGTTCTACTTTTTATTACAGCGCCTCATTTACAAAGGCACATTCCATCTACAATACAGAGAAATAATTCAGATTCCTTTGCGTTATCAAGGTTCAGATTGACATGCCGTGCCACAATAGCCCTCTTTGACTGAAAACCAGCATCTGATCAGAAGGCCACGCCCACTTACTTGTAATCAGAAGATGGCCCGCTCGAAGTTCTGTATTCGGAACGTGTACTCGTTCTGCTCTCAAGATAACTTCGACTTGGAGAAACAGCAGCCGAGCGCGTTGGTGTGCCTGGAAAGGATGTACATAAATGAAACCGACCTGGACCTATTGACACACTATAACGCAGAACCGATTGGTTCAAAAACAAGGCAACCATCTTTCCAATACACCGCCTAGCAGTGACTTGAATTGAGTGAATGGCTGAAGTTACCGCCCAGGCCTAACGTTCCCGAAGTCCCTTTTCTGACTTGAGCAACAGCGAAAGAGATAAATGGCGCTCCTTTTGGGGCTTTTGATCTGCTGACTTACACAAGATACTCGTGATAGCATTTCTCAATGTAAATGCACACCTCCTTTTCGCGTCTAGCACTACTATTAGTTCTCGTCAGCTTTCCATTGCTCTGCGAATTGGCGTAAATGCCTTTGGCCGTAGCTGCAATCCAAGGATCATTCCCAATATGGGGGTGGGGGGGAAAGGGGGGGATGAGGACTATCAAACGCTACTGGCATTGCCCAACGAGCACATGTCACCGTGCAGCACACTAACAACCTGCGAGCGCACCTGTGCATTAGGTACTCATAGAAAAAACGTGTACCGGACGTCGCCTCAGCCCATTTCTTCCGCGACGTTAAGCCGCAGTCTCCGACTCACTAATAGTAAATAATTGTCTTGCAAGGGTGGAAAAATATACACTTGCACTTTCAGCTGCTCCCGCAATCCATCTGTTATAAACCGCAAAACCTTCAAAATGTCGCTGTGATCATAAAAGGAAGTCAAATGCGTGGCGTAGAATGGCCACCGTCGAGCGCACCGCCTTTCTACATACATAACTCCTTTTGTGTAAAGATTAGTGAACATGTGATTTTACCTGAGGTGGAGCTATCTCTTCTCGTTTGAGAAACCACTCCAGTAGACGTCGATCGAGGTAGGGAGTTGTATTCCCTCAACTGACGCTGATCTGGCCGTTTTGACGCGCTATAATCAATTGTTCCAGAATAAGTGTGAATGTCTTTAACTTAAAACTAGCGCAATAATTCCAATTGCACTGAAAATTTTTGGACTGCAATCAGAGCAGGTACAGCGTCGCACCGCGACCACACGCGTTCTTGGAGGGGCCAACGCAGAAACGCCTTCAACGAGGAAAGATGTGGGAAAAAACTACAGAGCTTCGTTCACCTTTAGTTTTTCCCCTGCCTACCATATTTTTGACATTCTTCTTATGACTAAACTAAGGTTAACGCTATGACAGAAGACCCTTAATGGAAACACTGCTCGCCTATAGGAGAAAGGAGGGGCATGCAAAACAGAATGAAAAAATATCCAGAAAGGACAGAACAAATAATTGGGCTCAAACAGATAGAAAGCGTAAAAGAAGAGATACGCAGCATGCCTTCGGCTGTGTTTTCCGTTGAACTCCGCATAGGAATCGATCGTCTTCTGTTCGGTGAACACCGAACGAACTTTGTCGAAATTCTCCACCGATGTGATCGATTTCACTTGAGCGATTTTTGCTGAAACGTGAAAAGGGAAGATAGAAGAAAAGAAGCATTCAGGACATTTACAACAGGAAAGTTCTGTCGGAGTGCGCCATGCATTTAAAAATTGATTGGAAGGAAATTTAGATCCATGCCGGGAATAAAATGACATATGCGGTATCGTGTGGTGTTGGAAATAAAATGGTATTGGAAAAATATGAAAAACATAGTAACCCATAAAATGAGAACGACTGAGAAAAAAAAACTTGAACAGGATTCCAACATAGGAACGTGGATCCTCCATGGCTTGCTGGTTGAGATCATGCGGAAAATCAGTGGGAACTAACACGCTTACCCAAGCTCTGCTACTTTTCTTAGATTTCAAACTAATTGAAATATTGTTCAAACCCTACCTTTAGTAATCAGATATGTGCACAGGTGGTTTCTCAGAGGGGCATTCAAAAGCAGAGCCGAATGTAGGCCGACATTTGCAGCTCATAGAGGTGAAAAGGGTCAGGGAGAACAGACCTGAGTTCCTTCCTCAATTTGATGTACCCCCTCACCCCCACAACGAAAATGAACCCGGTTGCAAAATTAGCTTTACCTCAGGTAATAAACGGTCATGAATACTTCACGGTCCACCAAGCACGCAACACCGACTAACTTCAAGAGATCTCAAAAGAGAATTAACCTAGACAAAACTGCTTGACTTCAAAGTTCCCATTGAAAATCAACTTGTCAATAAAGCAGTTGGATGAACGTCAACAGAGCAGTTGTGTGGAGGCTCAATCATCTTGGTTATGAGCTAATAAGCTTACATAGGGCCGGTGTCAGACAGTGCGAAGGGAGATGCGCTGGCGTAGGTTACGGTACCAGCCAATCGAACGATCGCGACGTGACCGCGTACTAGTGAATCGCTCTATTCGCCCAGTCTAGCACGGCTTTTGGAGTGATCAAGCTCCTACTTTCATAGGCATGCAAAATAGGCAGACAATTGAATAACGAAACTCCTACATTCGAAGAAAAAAAAACGTTACATTTCTTCGATTCACGTATTTCGAAGATGTTTCGCTCAAATGGCTTGTCACATTGGTTTAGGTCTAGTATCCCCCCCCCGTATGTTTGAAAGACTCGTTTGTTCTTGAAACGTACCTATCCAACATACCGTCCTTTCGTTCAATGCATACTTCAGCTTCACCCAATCTGGCAGCTTCGTGTAACATGCGGTTGATCGCCGACGGATATTTATCCTTGAGTTCTTCACCGTTTATGGAAATCACCACGATCTCCGATCTAAAATTATTGTTCTTCAGTCGTGAAAAAAGCTTTTCTCGTGCCTGACCTATTCTCAGAATTTGAACTTATGCAATTCTAGTTTACATGCAAGCCATGGGATTGCAATCACTAGAAGGAACCACACTGGGAGTGAATTGTTGCTGGTCTGATTACCAAAACGTCATGTCAAGTCCGTTGCACAAAATGTCGCCGGTCAGGGCTAAATGATTAGAGCAAGCCCGGGTTTGCCTCCCCGTAGTAGATAGCGCGAAGGGAATTCGTAGTTGTCCTCCCTACAAAGACACATCCGTCGCCAATTCACGGCTCCGACTTCAATCGTTCAGAGGCTGGCACCATCGCCCTTGTTGCGAACGCTCCCCACCTATCGCGTTGATGTGGAAACTCAGTGCGCCTGGCACGGTGTTGTTCTCGTAATTAATTCAGATCTCGCCCTCACTTCAGTTTCGCCATTTTAGGCCCTGTAATTTAGCGTTTTCGATGATTTTGCTTGTATTGTTTTCAACTTTCACTCAACTTCGCACCTCAACCGTCACTATCAAACGCTCCTGTACTTCACTTTCAGCCCGGGGCTTGCTTTTGAAGTGAAAGATACATCGTGTAATGTTTCTGTACCATTCAATCCTATTAGTATAACGGTGCCACAGTGGACAATTGGAACCACAGCACTCACCAGAAGTCCTGCTCGATCAGCCGGTGAGCTGACTATGACGCTATCGATGGTCGGACGTCACGCTGCATGTGAATCGAGAATCCCCAGGCCTTTCTGCACCGGATGTGTGCCCATAGTCACCGTCACAGTGCGGACGTTTTTCCTCCTAAAAACGCATATAAATGAGAGTCGAGAAAGATGATCAATAGATATACTACGGTAACAGATAGACACAGGATGATCACCTTCTTCGGCTGATATGCGGCGGGTGATTCATCGAACGGTATATCCACTGTTGCGATAGACGGTAGTGGGAGGCATGACTCTTGCCGCGATTCCGGACCTGTGGATGATTGAGCGCCAACGGCCGTTATTCTCGAAGTTGCAGTCGTCGTCGACGGTGGGGGTTGAACGTGGTGACTGATATGCGAAATAAAGGTGGCGCCCTGAAAGCAAAGCTCCGTGCTGGTAAAATGACGGCTGGGGAGCTGCAACAAAACGAGCAAAAGTATGGAGTTAGGAAGGTCATGAAAAAATAGATGTAAAGTCTTACCCGACTGTCGTCCACTGGAGACGGAACGGTTTCAATTCTCCTTGTTGCTGGGTAGCGAATCGCTGTCACCTGGCAAATAAGGATGCTTTGTGGATAAAGAATAATCATCGCTCAAAGATAAACGGGTGGAGCCTTCCAGTGCGATAGGGTCGCGGCGCGATTGCTTTGGGTCGCGATCACTAGTAAAAATGGTAATGCCATCATCGAGAGCTTTGATGAGATTGATGCTCACTCGACTCTGAACCTCAACCAGATGACCCAATCGAGCCCAGAATCACGTCCCAGAAGGTCAAATTCCGGATTGGATTTCATTAAAACGTGTGCCGCGGAATTGAATTAGGAAATCTGTCAGCTATTACAAGGTTGTCTGGGGAGATAAGTAGCACTGGTCTGTTGACGGCTGGAACCGACAAATTCGCAAGTATATAGGCATAAACGCATCCCAATGACATTATCATTCCGAGTAAAACTAGAAACGTGGCGCATCCGAAAATGGACTTAATCAAATCGCCGAATGTTCGATCCTTTATCGCTCCAAGGGCTTTATCGCACCACATTTTCATGGCCTACCTATATAGCGCAATGAATTAGGGTAGTGGCTTGCAATCTATTGTTCCGCCACAAATACAACATGAAACCAATGGCGAGGCCGTTTATCCTGCTCAAGGACGTTTCGAAAGTTACAATCGAGGTGAAAATCGGTCGAGGGAACGGCAACGGCTCGTCGAGGATTTTCGCCTCTTCAATCGCGCTCTCCCGCGCGCAAATTCACTCTCGCCAGCCGCGAGCCGTCTGTGCTCTCCTGCACGTGCATTCACTCTCGACATTACTCTCGCACAGTAGAGAGCCATGGTCGAGGAAATCCCCAACCCTGCTTACAACAGCGCTCAACAAGTATGCGACAAGTTCCGGTCATCTCGTTCATGTAATTTCTTTTGGCCTATTCATCCCCTCCTTATAGTTGATATGTTGCGCCTTATAGCATTTCGAATCTATGTCCGTTCAACGCATCTGAGAGAAATCCTTGAATAATCTCCCAGACTTTCTTCTAGAGAAAAAGTTTGATCCGAGAAAACCGCTTCCGGGAACTTTTTGACCGCTACTAGCTACTATATCTGTGTGAGGGGGATTTCAACGGGTTGAGAAAGAGAAGTCGTCTCACCTGTCCTCTCTGCTCCCTGTTTAGCTCGACGGTGAGGTCGACGTTATCTAAAGAATGGACTGTAAGTTCGGAAAAATCGAAAGTAACATTTGAGTCCCTGAATCTTTTAATACATACTTCAGTACAATTTACTACTGGGGCGCAATGTCTTCAAATACTGGTGGATAACCTATTAGAATCATGCTTTCAAAGCTAGCTTCAAACTTCCTTTCCGGTGAAATTACACATTTTGAAACAATTTATCACCTCTAGTCAGCAATTATAAAAAGTTAATTATATGGTGTCAAGTTGCCCACATATGAAGTAAAACAATGAGAGCAGTAAACTATGCAGTCACACCAGTGTTGGCAGTATAAGACTAACGCCTCAGACGGAAACTTACAAAATAAATAGGGAATGTGAATAAATTTTGGCCCAAACCTATAAGGCTGACAGAGGGTCTTCAGGTTCATTGACCGACAAAATGATTTCCTGCACTTTGTAGAGACTCATTTGCGAGGAACTAAAACTATGGTCCATTTTTCCTGAACACTTCTGGGAACCTCAAAACAGTGGTGAAGAAATGGTCCAAAGTTCAATCCGCCGTGGTGACAAATTTTTGCAATCCATGTTGGAGCCTCCAAATTGTCGCCAAATTACGAGGATGACATGTTAATCGACGCTGGTGCCATTTGGACACAATTTGGAGGCGCCAACATAAATTGCAAAAATTAGACATCACGGAGGATCGAACTTTGGACCATCTCTTCTCCACTATTCTGACCTTCCTAGAAGCGTTCAGGAAAACGGACCATGGTTTTGTGTTTCCTCGGCATGAATTCTACGAGGTGCAGGAAATCATTTTGGAAAAAGCGCTCCATGTCCTTGAAGACCTCCCTTGTGAGCTAATAATACAAAAAAGCTATCACGGGGTGATCCGATAACAAAGAAAATGCGAAAATCGTAAATCTTAACGGATCCCCGCCAAATTCCCCGTTTGTTGAGAGGAAAACTCACGAGTATCCTTGTATTCCACGTACGGCTTTGTAGTTGTCTGAAATATTTAAAATCAAAGAGATGCGGTTGAAAATTGTTCCAAAATACTTATGAAAATAAACATAACAAAACTGATGTTCGAGAAGTGTTTTGGAAGTACTGCTCTCATTCTGTATGATGGAAATGCCGTATTATAATTTTTGAAGAACAAATTCCCGAAAAAAATGCTGGCTAAGTTCGGAAAGAGTAGAGGATAGGAAAGAAGATTATTAAAAAAATATCTGTAGAATTATAGAATCTATCTTAAAAAAGATTCTAGATTGTGGAAGAAAGTTCGTGAACATTACAATGGCATTACCATTTTGGAACCATTAACGCCCATATCGTCGGTGACGTCGCAACTGTTGGCGAATGGCGAATTTCTACAGAAGTAGAACAATGGAGAGAAATCGTCAGTATTTGTTGTAATTGGAATTCGCGCCAGATGACCCAGTATGATATGGAGATGGTCCGCTAAGTGGGAGATGACGATTCCGGGAGAAGGCGAGGAGAACCACGAAGAAGGCGAAATCGAAACCGCGGCTGGGAGATCGCCGACAACCGATAGGTGTGAGGCGTGCCGATTGGGAATCCACCAACTGAGAGGAAGACGTCATAGTTCATGACATTTCCTGTCGGAAGAAGAACACTGACAGTTTCTTTGAGGAAAACCTTTGGAAAATGTCACTCCTCTATGAAGTGAAAACAGTCGCCACGCGCCTTCTCATCGCATCGCGGAGAACTTCCTGACGGCAGTACGACTCCACTGCGTTCGGGTGCAAAAAGGCATGTAGAGCAATACAAACAGTACTTGGGGCTTACTGTTACTGCAGTAGATCTTTGGACATATTCGGAGGAAGTCGTGATGCCGCAGCTGTAGGGGAAAAATACCAATTATTGAGGCGGTTCCATCTACAATGATAAAGGGTAAAGAAATCGGCGTCAGACAATCACTTTTCGGAATGCGCCATGCATTCTGCTTCGATTCAGAATCGTAGTGGCATTTGAATGCAATTTTACCTACAAAGTGACTTGCGGGGGCCCAGCCGATGTCCAAGTCAGTGTTTTTCCCTCCCATCCAAGTCTGGTACCAT